AAAAAAAAAAAAAAAACATACCCCCCCCACCCAAAAGTTGATCTTTTTCGTTTTTTTTTTTGTGTGGGAGGGTGGGGCCGGGGATGCGCCGCCACGTGGCGTATCCCGAATTTCGAAAGTTGCTCCCCCGCGGACGCCACGTGGCTTCAAAGCCGTCCGCGGATTCGGCCGCGGATGGCCGCTGCCGAGGGGGATTCATAGATCCTCTCTCGTGTCATCCTGCCATTAGTGTCTGTTCAGCTGTCTTCTGTTAGTTCTTTTGAATCTTTTCTCCCTAAAAGTCTCTTCCCTAACTTCCTTTCAGTCCCCTAAGCACTTTACTCCTCGTTGTCCTCTATTCTGGCCTAACGTCTTCATCCAAACAGAACGTACCCTATCGTTGACTGTATCTGTCTGGAAAGATAGCCCTGTCTACATTCATGACAGCTGCTCGTTGCATTCGGGGGAAGACTGGGGGGATGTGAAGTTTTCAACCATCCACATCATTCAACAAATCAGGCACTGTCGGCTTCACCCGAAAATAACGCCCGGGTGTTACATTCAATTTACCCTAAGAAAGCCAGATTGTTTCACTCACTTTTGTTCCAATAATCACTTTTGTTCCAATAAAATGCCCCTTCGAATACAATGCCCGGGCATTATTTTTGAATAGAACGCCTGGGTGTTACTTCCGAAAGTCGGATGGGTAGAATGCCTTGTACGGGGGGGAAGGGGGATATACAGGGGTTGAAAAGGGGTAACTTCAAAGGGGTGCACTTTGGTTTCGGGGGGGAGAAGGGGGATATACATGGGGTTGAAAGGGGTTGTAACTTCAGAGGGGTGCGCTTTAGTTTCATTTTTGTATTCTGTTTTTTCATCTTGGAAGTTGGAATTAATAAGAAAAATGCAGAAGTGACCCTCAGCCAAAACTTGTTCACATACACGACATTTTGTTTTACAGAACGTTTGGTTTCTTTTCTCTTGGGGGGGGGGGAGGAGCTCACCAAAGTTGCTACTAATTCGCTGAATACCACACCCCGGTGTCAGAAACCGATATAATGCCAACCGGACCCTATATTCTCATACAACACCCGGACGCTATTTGCGGGTGAAGACAGCAGTGCTCCCTAACATCAATAAACGAAACTAAGCCCGCTACCTCCCCTAGACTGGTCACAATTGAGTGAAACTGAACCCGCTAGCTCCCCTAGACAGGTCAATTGGTCACAATTGAGCCCCTAAACTGGTCACATTTGAGTGAAACTGAACCCGCTACCTCCCGTAGACAGGTCAATTGGTCACAATTGAGTGAAACTAACCTGCTACCTCTCCTAGACAGGTCACAATCGAGTGAAACTGAACCTGCTACCTCCCCTAAACAGGTCACAATCGAGAGAGAGAGAGAGAGAGAGAGAGAGAGAGAGAGAGAGAGAGAGAGAGAGAGAGAGAGAAGAGTGTTACATGCTGCGCCTGCACACGGGTCCCATTTGCAGGGCCAGACGGTTGCTGAGGGCCCCCCAGGCCGCACGCCATCCAGCGCGCGCCCTGGAGGCCCACTGCGGCCCTCTAGGCCGCAGGTATAGTGTTACATGCTGTGCCTGCAACAGGCTGCACGTGCCATTTTCAGGCTGAAAGCCTGAAAACGAGGGCCTCCAGACCCCATGTTGTTTTCAGGCCAAAAGCCTGAAAACAAGGGCCTACAGGCCCCGTGTCAGTTTCAACCTGAAAGCCTGAAAACAAGGGCCTACAGGCCCCAT